AAGTAACTTGTAATAATTGTACTATTGCAATGGTCAAACAATACAATATACAAAATTGAATAAGAACAAAAGGGTTTATTTAATAGATATTTTTTAATAGTTTCTCATCATGTATTGTATGTTTTCGTCTGGGAAATGTGTTTTATGTTTTGTCTTTCCACACAATACCCTCAGATGGTACTTGTTGAGTAATAACAATTATTATTGTTATGTACCATGTTTCAAGTGTTCAGTAGAAAAGCTGAAAATTGACTAAAAACTTAATCAGATCTGTGCATTGTCCAAGGGCATCTGGGTCTCTTCAATGTAGCAAGTTTCATTGAAAACTTATGAGTGGTTCTTGACCAAGCAGTTTATTATAAGATTTATTATAGGATGTTCTTAGATAACATTTCTAGGTTATCAGATTATATGTCATAAAAATATAGAACGTACAGTATTTTTTTTATCTGTGGCTGTATTATAACAGAGATGAAATGACTTTTGCTATTGATACGCATTCTATTTCATTGTGAATTACAGTAATATCTATAGTGATACTTTATCACTTGTAAGCCAGACTACAAAAGTTCACAGACCCTCCCTAACTGACCGACCTACCGACCACTGACCTACATGTACATATACACATTACAACAGTATAAAATGTTTGAAAGGATTATTAGCGTTGACTGAAATGATGAAAAGGATGTTACAGATGTGATTTTTTTTTACTTTCTTACTTCAGTTATTTCACATCACAAGTGGAGAAAACAGCCACCAATCAATCATATTGAATCCAAGAATGAAAAAATGCATGATATTTTAATTCATCTCTATGCAGACTATTGTTCAAATCTACTTATACAAGGTGAAGAAATCAAGAGTAACAGACCTGACTGACTGATGGATGGATGGATGAAGACCAATCTACAATTATTATCTACAAGCAAGTTGAGGAATACCTATTTTATTTTTTTCATGAACAAGTTCTGTAAAGCAATGAACAAATTCTTCTGTGTATTATACACGGATGAGCCAATCAATAAAACTACTAAGTACATATTTCTATGTTTACATGCAAAGACACACAATAGTATACTCATTTGGGTTTGTAGACATCAATTAAAAATATAAACACTACCGACAAAAAATGGATATCAGCAATAGAGAAAGAAAGGAGAAATACTGTTGTGTATTCACAAAAGAACCAGACTTTCAGCAGACAGTCACATGCATAAATGCCTATTTTTTCCCACTGATCCATTCAAACTGATTAAATCAATAGAAACGCATGAAAAATGCATAAGATATTCAACCACGGTACTCAGAGGAAAGATCATGCCAGACTCTTGGCAGACATAACAGTTACGTCATTGGAGACAAAGGAATTATCAACATCCCAGCCCCAGCCCCAGGCTATTGCGTATGCTGTATAGTGAGCGGAATTTGGATTATTTTCTCAACCAGTTCTAACAATTTAATCAAAGAAACCTTTAAAAGAACTGCTGTGTGCTGAGGTTATTGGAGGTATATAAAGAATCAGGCCCACTTCAGGTTGAAAAAGTATTATGGCCAAACTGGTCATCAAGTCACTGTTTTGTCATGAATTTCAGTCCTACCATATACAGTACGAGAAATACTGTAAAGCATTCAGCAAAATTTATTTTTGTTTAGCAAATTATCAGTAAATAAATAGGCCATTAATGAATAGGTAGTGGGAGCCCTGAAAATCTAGTGTTTCATACTGACTATCTCCGCACCCCTTCACTACTCCACCGGATGTACAGCAGTAAAAATACATGTCTCAGTTTGAAGACATCATCTGAACAAGCATGGTTTTTGTCAGAGGATTATAAAGTTAGATAAACAATAGAACTCAATTATTACTTCAATAAAACAATGGAGGCAATTACATACTGTTATGTGAATTAGTTGATCCATGTACCTATGTTATTTTCCTGAAGGAACACTGCTAAACAGGAACTAATAAGCACATGTTACCCTGACCCCATGCAGTAATATTAGACGATTTTGTTGGTTTCTGTAGCAAATATTACATTATGTCAATTACATGTAGGCTTATTATAATAGTTCACGATACAAATAACATATTTGCATGAAGCAGCAACAACTTACTCCACAGTAAAATTCTGTAGTAATTTGAGTAATTCATTCATCATTACAACACAACTAGCTACAGACTGAAATAAAACTAGGAAATAATGAAGAATCCAGACAAAATTCTTATTGTTTAAGGTATTTCCATCACCCAGACAGTCTTCACACATATGCAGACCAGCTGTTCAGGGTATAATTTCCAAACATGGGCATCAGAAGCAAAATACTCACAGGAAATTAGTAAAATGATGACTAACTATTACTATTATTTAATAAGTTTATTGCTATATATAGGCCACAAAAATTACACAACTATAAATAAATAAATAAAAAAAAAATATATGAAAATGTGACCATCAACAGTTTAGTGCAATGCCTCTTTCTTAGACATAAGCTTTGATATGTTATTTTTTTTTATTTGGGATCATGTAGGTCAAAAGAGTCACTAAATTGTAGTACCAGTAATTAAGCGTGACAGAGGGGTATTCAAAAAGAAAGTGAAACAATACAGCAAGATTCGCACAATATACATGTCTTTAAAGCCATCCAAATTATGTCTGTCCAGTTTCAATAGCCAGAGTGTGACTGGAGCAACATGACCATGCCAATGCCTTTTGATGCTTATAAAGCCCTTTTAGAATATATTTAAATATTTGTGGAAAATACATTCATGCTGATAAAATCACTTATCAGGCAGTTGAAAATATGACCTTGGCATGAACTATTTAAGGGTGATATTTCACATTTACCAGAACATAATCAGTAGTGGTTGGTAATATTATTGAAGAACTCAACATAAACAAATATCAAAATGATGTCTTGTGATATTGTTTTTATGCAACAGATGAGAACAATTTTAATGAGATTTTAAGGGCCAGGTAGACTTTCTTATGACTAGACTATTGACATTGAGCAGATAGTAATTTATAGCTTTTATTTTAACAATTCACAAAAAGTAAATTAAAGTAAACTTTAAAGTAAATTTGTAGCACCCGAATGTAGGAATTCATGTTGGTTGGATTGCTAGAGGAAAAAAAAATTAGATAGGTCCAACCATGGAGCTAAAATGGTCCAACCAACAGACCAATCATACATGATATGTAGATAGAATAGTGTCAAAACATAAACTATTTTATTCAAACACAACAGAATCATAAAGAAATTATACACGTCTAATTTTAACATGTTGCCTATACATTGAATATGCACTGCAACGACCCCTATACCCCATTATTTGTTTTACGTACAAAATACCAATCATCTGGTTGCCATTGTTTTAAGGTAAATTTATCTGATAAATAACATTAACTTTTTTTGCTTTTCTATAATATTATAACTGTCTACTAACTGGAAAAGTATGCAAAAAACCCTTAAAAACGTCAGACAAGGTATAACATGTAAATCTTCTACACCAGTAAATTCTTGCTCAAACATGCAATTAGTAACAATAAATCAACTCCATGAGCAGTCTGTTAATGTTCAACTCAGACAGCCACTATGTGAGGGCACCTGATCAGTATTTTACAGTAAGAATTCTTAGAATAAAAGTCAACTATCGATAGGATAAACAGTAAAAGCATAAAAATTTGGCATTACTATTTACATGTTATCCATTCACTACTTAGGGTCAGAATATCATCACTTTGTACTTAATTTAAAACCGGACTATGCATGCTGCAGAAAAATACTGTTGCCAGACATAAAACCCTTGCAGTCAAGCTAAAATACCTACAAATCCCTGTCAATATTTATGATCAAACTGACTGGTTTTTAATTTAAGGTGGATCAAATGTTTTCAGTATTTTGAACACAATGATTTAATGATTTCATAAATATAAATTGAGGTATTTGTCCTCACATTTTTTATCAGACATGTTTTTTAAATAATTTAAAGCAAGATTTAATTTCTTTGTTTGATGAAGGCTTTCAGTGTTCTGGATTTTTCCAATTCAGACTACTTAAGCAATTCAAAGATTAATTGCTTGATCCATAGACTTAATAGAATTAGATTTAATTTTATAACAGTTTTTTTACATACTGTATAACAGTCAACAATACATTTTCCTCAGTCTGTAATCTATCCAGTCTACTTTTCTATTTCATTGTTTCAAAAAATGTTTGAAGTGCAACAGAGCCACACACACACTGTTTACCACTAGTTGTCTGGTGAAACTCTGGTTGGAAGCAATACTTTTGGAAATAAAAAATGAGTAAATGTTCAACTATTTTTCTACATTCAAAGAATTAGTAGGTGAATAGGACTTAACATGAAGGTTCTTTACAAAACCCGATATATTTAATTTAATTTAGCTGTTTATATGTCTGTTCGACTACCTGTGTACGTGTGGGAGTGTCTGTCTAGACGTCTGGGCAGAAATCTGAATAACGTCTGGTAAACTTGTGTCCCATGACGCAACAGAAGGATAATGCACCCGATATAAATATCAAGAACCTGACAGTATTGTTATATGTTATCATGAAAATCAATAAATGCCAGACTCAGTAAAATGAAGCCAAATGAACACAAAAAGCTGCAACCCCCACTAAGAAAATCGTGAGGTCTTTTATGTTGACTGTCTGGGTCGCGTCTGGGGCACACGTGTGCGTCAACATTTGAGGAAATTCTGCAAAAAGATAAGAATTTTATCCCATGACAAGTGTCAGTCGACAATCTAAGTAATTATTACAAAATACGTAGACACCAATTGTTAAGCGAACAATTCTACCATTAAAACACTAGCTACCTTTCTGGTTATGACGATCGAGTGAGTGGACTCTCGAGTACAGTCATAGTTGTGCAGTTACTATGTACGTATCGACGCGACACCGACCGTGCAATTCGCGCATTATGTATGTGTATTTTACAAAACATAGACACAATGACACGTAGAATGTCTTACCTTTAGAACTTGCCACATGTGACAGTGAAATGACTGAAACAGAAAAAAAAGTGTTAATCGTTTAAGATGCAATCCGGAAGTTGAGTACGAGAAACCGGAAATACAATAAAAGTAGAGAAAACACTTGCACTTACCGAATAAGCTAATGCATACTAAAGAATCAGCATAAAGTTCCATCTCTTGATACAAGGCCACTGTAAATTTGGCAAAGAAATACTGCTTGAGCCGTTTACACAGGTGACATCCTCAAAATTTAGAAGTTGTACCGCCGCGCCATGTTGTACGTCAGACGAAAATTTTGTTTGCGCATGGTCGCCTGGTTAGCCGAAGATTTCCGGAGATTTCCGATTGGCAATTACGTGATGCAGTAGCGTTGGAAAAGTAGTTTTATGATAAGTCCAGGACAAACAAACTAAGAACGATATCGAATACAATTCTAAGACAAGGGAACAATGCACATTTGATGACAATCAAACATTATTTATAATACGAAATTAAATAATGCAAACCACTGGTACTGAGGTATGGTCAAAGTACAAGGACAAGTATTGCTAATTGTGGCGGCCGGGAGGTAGTGGTCCCTCATCACTTCGATTGCTGTTGATATTTACCAATCGACTGTTTGCGCTATTTAATTCTGTTCGTATGGAATTTGAACAACCATTTTAATTAATTACACTGTAATTACACTGTCTGTATATATATATATATATATATATATATATATATATATATATATATATATATTCTTGTATCCAGTTCTACTTAGCATGTAGAGTGTATGGATTTGTGATGGAAAACAACATGTTGTCCAGTTGGTTTGCATTTACCTATACTATAATGGGACCGCCCCATTATAACGAGTCTGTGTTGTTGTGCACGGTATGTCTGAGCTGAATGGGCGTCTTGTTGCTATAGCGACCCTGCCTTATAGCCGCGGTATCCTGTACACGCTATCCGTGTGTGACGGGATTTTCGCTTTAATTCTTTTGCCAAACAGTAACGGAAATAGGTCGATTTTGTGCATTTAAAGTCGAATATGGCAGACAAAGCCGGTGGTAAAGCTTTAGCAGGGTTCAATTTCGTCGCTCAGGACCAGATTTGGTAAGGAAATCATACTGTGAATCATGATCACTTTGTTTATCGTCAATTGTGTTTGTTTTGTTTTTTAAAGTTACTGAAGTTTATGTTATATTTGTTGCAGGAAAGACCACGTAAAATACGAAGAAGACTCTAGGAAAAGTTGGCCACAACATTGGGGCTTTTTGAAAACAACATATAGAGACGTGAGTACATACTGTGGGGTTAAGCGTGACGTAGGAGATGCCCTTTGGGGATTTCAGCTGCAACGTATCGACGAATTGTTTGCGTAGGCAGCCAAAAGGATGCGACCTCTGCTCTTGTTGCGTCTAGAAACAGCTATCATAGTCTGTAGTCGTTAACACAACGTTGCTGTGATGAATACTGTGTAGATTTCAAAAGTCTAGAGTTGCAATCGGCACATGCGACGAAATGAGATAAATTTGTTTTGGCACATAGATTGTTTCCCGACAAACCGATGGCCGAATGTAGGTTATAAAACGTATCCGCAACTTTAATAAGCTTCAACAATTTGACATGTTTTTAATTCACTCAATGTAATGGCATTGGTTCGTCTATTTTAATTAACTTGTTGCAGAGTTCATCTCAGACAGCAACACGCACCTTAGTCAGATTTGTCTTTTCCTAGCAGTTTTTTCTTTTCTTCTTCTTCTTGTCTTTATTTGTTTTTGTTGTTAGTTTTTCCATTATTTTTCAATTGTAACCCTTTTCATCTCTTCCGAGGAATGTTGTGTGTTAATAAAATAAAAATACATGCAACCATAGCCAGTTTGACCCATATCGCACCGGACTTGTTTGTCCACATGATCGGCATAATCATTAGTTGATAAGGGGACAGTTTATTCATAGTGGAAATAAACAAGTTTCATGTTTCGCCTTTACAAATATAATTGTAAACAACATTTTTGCTAATCAAATTTTGTGTTCTTTTCTACATCTGTATTGCATTTATAATAATCATACGGACGCAATAAAGATTATTATTATTACGCAAAGCATTGCCGACAGACTACCGATGTCTGACGCAAAGATTTTGAGAAAAGATTGCGGGGAAACGCATGCGCACGTGTTTTTCTTTAAATGAGTGTACTTTGAACGAGACTGGATGTATTAATTCCTAAGCAAACTCCCTTCCATGAATTTTATGAAATAAGCAAGAAAGAACCATGTGAAGTTTTTCACTTTCTTAGGGACTTGAGCATACAGTTCACCTACCGGTGACCACCTCCCTAGGTTGTACAGCAGATCATAATGTATGGACCGACATGCACTTATCAGGTCATGACTTATTGTTGCCATCACCAATCTAACTGATTCTCCATCAAGATTACAATGTTGACTTTGTCTTCTTATAGTTGTTTCCCCCAATAGCTCCATCAATACCCCTCTCATTAATAGCCCCTTCCATATTGTTTATATGGACCAGTTGGACTGTCCAGTAATTCCCAGTGAATTTGTTCAGATGGTTTAAACTGTCTATAACCTATTCATTGTTATAGTACATGTAAGACTATCCCATGTATCCAGTAACCCCTACTACTGTGGTTTGGGCTACTAGTATATCAATATGTAATACCAGTAATAGCCCACAACTCCATTGTTATTTTTTTGTACTGTCCAACATAAGCCCCCCCTCGAGCAGTTTTAGGTGATTGTGGGTGTCCTAGCCCCCTTCAGCCTTGGATGGGTTTCCCCTCCCAAAAATATTCTTATTTGAAGTAGGCAGTCAATGTTATTAGCCCATTATGTTTACACAAAGACATGTCAGATCCAGCTTTATGGTCATTAAAGCAGTGAGATTTGTAGTTTTCAAGAAAAAGTCGAAAAAGTAAAAAGTCAATGCAGACGCCAACGGATAATCACTCATATGATAAGCTCCACTCGACAAACAACAGTGGACCTAAAAAGCAAAAGTTTTATTTACAGTTTTGGAATATCACTTTTAGGTTAGCAGATGTTGGCGAAATGTCAACCTTTCTGATTTCTATCATAATTACACTATTAACCTGACTATGATTCTGTGGCATTAAAAACCAGTTACATTTCTGTATCTCTGAACTGATAGTAACCTCAGATTACATCAATCTTTACTATGTGTTGTCATAACAACACTGGTATACATGTACTAGTCATGTTGTGCACCAGCGCAATTGTGTGCATACATACCAATGCACAGTTTGCACAAGTGCCACATTTCTAAAAACTAAAAACCAGTAATTGCATTTGTTGTACACTGAATTATGCTGCTAATAGAGCTAATGCAGGATTGTTCTGAGTTTGTGAATCCACCACAACCTATATCAATTTATTATTTATACCATATAACGCCTGTCATTCCCCAATTGATAAAACATTACAATACAAATGATTTTTCATTTCAAGTGAGCTAATAACCCCAGCATGAAACCCAGCATATGATAATTACATATTGTTTTACACACTGGCAAAAACACTGATAACAAAATATGGACAACAATTGTAAAGCAGTGGAAGCTGGGATTAATGTTAATCCATTGAATCAGTGATTGATACCTTCTGACAGTAATCTACCTCCCTTCTGTAGATTTAACCTGTCTGTCACTAATAGTGATATAATGGCAGTCCATACTACTGTCACTAATAGTGATATGATGGCAATCCATACTACTGGCACTAATAGTGATATAATGGCACTCCATACTACTGGCACCTAATAGTGATATGTTGGCAATCCATACTACT